ATGCAACCCCGCCGCGCAGCCCGCCAGCTGGCTCAGCAGGTGGATTGTGATCTTGCTTTGCCTTTGGACACAGCCGTGCTGTTAAGCACGGCCCGAAATCCAGCCGGGCCCAGTGGAAAGACGGAGTTGTGCTGATAAGACGCGTCAATAATTTTATGTACAAATAATAAAAAGCACAATAAATACATAAGACTCTTAAAATGCAACCCCGCCGCGCAGCCCGCCAGCTGGCTCAGCAGGTGGATTGTGATCTTGCTTTGCCTTTGGACACAGCCGTGCTGTTAAGCACGGCCCCTCCAGCATCCTGGCAAAGCACCTGCCCTGGCACAGCAGCTGCCCCTCTTGGACAGCCTCTCTCCTCTCTGTGTGGACGGGGCTTTTGGCCTGACAGTAACGACCCTTTGGGTCCGGAGAGACAATGAGAGCGCGTCTCTCCCCTGCTCCAGGCTGCAAGAACCAGGGGAAACTGGGAGTCCATCAGCAAACATTGCGAAGGGTAACGTTAGCTCCCGGAGGCTGAGAGGGGGGGGGGGGGGGGAGGGTGTTTGCACTGACATCGACAGAAGGATAAATTCCCCAAATCAAGGACCTTAGCAATGCACATTTTCTTGCACTGGGCCCGTTAGCACCATAGGGATAAGGCAGATTCCTTGCTTGTCCTGGAAAGTGACAGGCTAGGGAGAAAGTTTCCGTCAGTGTTCCCTGGAAGCTGTACTCAGGAGAGAGTCAAATGCCACCCAGCTTATCAGCAGAGCGCCCACAGCTTGGTTTTTTTTGTTTCTCCTGCTGGTGCACATTTGTCACGTCTTGGTGCACATACACATTTATTCCGCGCATAATGGGAAAAATCTACCCAGGGATGGACGAGAGGGAACACTGGTTTTAGTTCCACTCTGCTAAGACTGCGGCCCTGGAGTTGCCTGGCTTTCTACGGAGCCATCTCCCAGCTGGGTGCAGCTTAGAGCTGCGGCTGGCGGAGAACTCTGGTTGGAAGCCAGCTGCACAGCAGGTGGAGGAATGTCTCCGTTCCTTTGGGGCCCTGTTTTACCTGGGTCCACAGCTCAGACACAGATGTTAGAGGCCTCCCTCAGCGCCCCTGGTGTGGAATGCACCTCAGGCTAGTGCCCCAAAAGCTCCGTGCGCCCGCATCTGCACAGGGGCAAATTTCATCCCCTAGTGAGCAACTCCTGCGTGTGCAAAGCACAAAGGCAGGGCTGGCTGCGCACACACCCATTTGCACATGGAGAGCCGGCTGTTGCACTCTTTGAAGGCTCTGCCCTTCACGTCAGCACCGTTTCTTTCTCAGCCAGGGAGCCGGGCAGGTGAGGAGTTTTTGATGGTTTTTTACAGCTACGATCTGAGTGGGACAATGGGAATTTGCCACAGGAGGGCAGGCACTGGGCAGAGCAGCATTTCAGGTGGGGTAGAATCATGGAGGGGAGTAGAAAACCCACTCCAGGGTCTGCGTATGAGTTTGCCACTGAAATGCTGAGTGTCACACACTGGCTGTGTCTAGACTGGCCAGTTTTTCCGGAAAATCAGCCGCTTTTCTGGAAAAACTTGTCAGCCGTCTACACTGGCCGCTTGAATTTCCACAAAAGCACTGACTTCCTACTGTAAGAAATCAGTGCTTTGTGCGGAAATACTATGCTGCTCCCGTTCAGGCAAAAGTCCCTTTTGCACAAAACTTTTGCGCAAAAGGGCCAGTGTAGACAGCTGAGATTTGTTTTCCGCAAAAAAAGCCCTGATTGCGAAAATGGCGATTGGGGCTTTTTTGTGCAAAAGCGCGTCTACATTGGCCACAGATGCTTTTCCGTAAAAAGTGCTTTTGCGCAAAAGCATCTGTAGCAATCTAGACGCTCTTTTCCGAAAATGCTTTTAACGGAAAACTGTTCCGTTAAAAGCATTTCTGGGAAATCATGCCAGTCTAGACGTAGCCACTGAGTGGAGTCAAGGGTGCCCTTTGGCTTTGCTCCATCTTTGCCCTGTCCGGAGACAAACACTTCTGCTCCCCAGCATGAGTGCCGAGAGCTGCTTGGTCATGGGGCATCTCTACATGCTCCAAGCCCTTCGGAGCCAAACCACAAATTCCCAGGGCTGCCCAGGGGCCTGCGGGGAAGCAGAGTGGCAGGGGCAATGGATAGCAGCAGAAGTCTGGAGAGCTTCAGGCACTGAGGTGGTGGGGGGTAGGGAGTTTCCCAGCTGGTTGCAGTGCTGTTAGAGCAGGGGTGGGGACCTATGGCCCGGGGGCTGGATTTAGTCCCTGGCTTGCCTGGATCTGCCACCCCAGGCTCAGGGCTCCCCACAGCATCGGGGAGCTGGCTCTTCAGCGCTGTGGCTCCCCTCCTGCCCAGAACCTGCACCCAGCCACCCTCCCAGACCCACCAATCCCCAGCCCACACCTGCACCCTCCCTCCTGCCCAGACCCCCACACCTCCTCATTTTTGGCCCCACCCCAAAGCAGAGGGGTGCCCACAGCCTGGGTCCCCCCTAGGCTCTGATGTGTAAGGGGAATGTGGGGAGCAGCTGACTGATTTTTCTGGGGGTCAGCAGCTACTGACTCCAAGACGGTTCCCCACCCCTGTGGTAGCACCCCCAGCCCAGGAAGGAAGCAAAGTCCGACCCAGGTGCCCCTCGTCTCAGGCCTGCCCCAAAGTCCAGTGTGCTGCATCTCTCCATCCTGACCCCTCCAGCCTTGGCTTTGATCTCTGCCCCTGCGGTCACCCCAGGGTTCCCACTCTGGTTGTAAGCCCCTTTTCCGGCCCCGCCGCTCCAGCCAGGCAGAAGCACGGGGCTGTTTTAACAGGGACATGAAAGGCCGGGGGCTTATGTCACGACTCGGGCCGCGCCGCTGACAGCGCCAGCAAGGGCACCGAACGCAAACGCCCCAGCGGCCTCCGGCTCCCAACAATGGCCTGTTTAGCCAGGCTGGGATTAGGCGCTAAGACCCTGCCGGCCAGGACAAAGCGTGGGGCCGGGGTTAAACAGCCAGGGGCTGGGGACACACTTTCAAGGGCTCAGCACACATAAGCTACGGGCGAGTGCACCGCCCCCGCGGTGTCAGCAGAAACCCAGCCTGGCCCTGGTGGGCCCTGCACGAGGTGGGTTGGAGGGGAGACACTGGGGAGCAGGGCAGCGCCAGCGTGGAGGAGAGGGGGGCTGTGGAAGGGCAGGTGTGTGTGTGTGTGTGTGTGTGTGTCTGTGCGTGTGTCCGTGTCTCTGTGTGTGCTTGTGTCCATGTGGGTGTGTGTGCTTGTATCTGTGTGTATGCTTGTGTCCGTGTTTGCGTGCTTGTGTCCGTGTCTGCTTGTGTCCGTGTGTGTGCTTGTGTCCGTGTGGGTGTGTGTGCTTGTATCTGTGTGTATGCTTGTGTCCGTGTCTGCATGCTTGTGTCCGTGTGTGTGCTTGTGTCCGTGTGGGTGTGTGTGCTTGTGTCTGTGTGTGCTTGTGTCTGTGTGTCTGCTTGTGTCTGTGTCTGCGCTTGTGTCTCTGTGTTTGGAGATCCCTGGAGCCTGGCATGGGAGACCCAGGTGTGCACCCAGGGGTGCAGCGGGGGGTTCCTGCAGGAGACCGTGTGTTGCTCGGGGTGTTAAGGGTTGAGGAGATGCTAGAGATGTGTAATGGCTGGGGGTGGGGGGGAGA